TGAAGTGGGGCAAGAGCTAAGAGGAAAAGGCAGCAGGGTAAAGGATACAAAGTGTCTAGGGGGAGCTGCTTCATCTAGTTTGTTCAGGGAAGGCCTGTCTGATCAAGTAGCTTTTTTTAAAGAACTCGAAAGGAGGGAGAAGGCAGCGAGTGCTCCAGATACCTGAGAAAAGAGTACCCCAAGCAGAAGGGACAGCCAAGGTAAGGGACCTTAAGCTTGGGCCTGCTCTGTGTGTCAGGGGCCCAACAAGAAGGGCAGTATGGCTGGAGCAGAGTTGGGGAGGGGATGGTGGAAGAGCAGGTCAGGGAGGTGGCAATGTCCTCCTGAGAACTCACAAGCAGTATGTATTTTTACACAAATAAAGCATGCCTTCATTGGTTTGCCAGCTGCTCCCTCCCCCCACAGAGTATTTTCATAAGCGCCACTATGCCAATTTTTTTTTAACATGTTGCTGTAAAGAAAAATTGGCATAGCAGCGCTTACAAAAAATTCCTGGGGTGGTGGGGAGGAGGCTAGCAAACCAATGTAGAAGGTGTGGGTTATTTTCACAAAAATACAAGTAAATGCAACTTCCAACACCTGCGAGCTGCCAAGTGCATCAGACTCCCTCCATGATCCTCCAGCCTGAAATCACAATGGAGGGGCCACCCCTCCCATCTAAGCCCCGTAATCCCCAGCCCCTCCTCATAAACCTTCCACAACCGATCATCCTTTCAACAACACATAGGTGTGGAGGGTGAGAATTAAGGGGCTTTGATCGTCTCTATTTTCTCTACAAAATAGAAAATAAGGTCATCCTGGGTTTGAAGAGACTGAAAAGGCTGGAATGACCACTGGAGGGCGGGAGCAAGGGTGTCCCAGGCCGCTTGGAAGGGTGAGGCCTCACATCCTGAGCTGCTGCAGCAATGGCCCACTCAGATGTGGGATTCTCAGCAGCAGCAAGCACAGCGCCTCTGAGCTGATACAGGTGCAAGGAGGGAAAGATCAGATTACAAGGTTTCTCTAAATCCCTGCTATAATCATTTCTTCTCTGCGTGTTGTTGTTAGCTGCCATTGAGTTGGCTCCAACTCAGGGTGACCCTCTACACAATAGAACAAAACCCTGCCTGGTCCCGAGCCATCCCCATGATCGGTTGTGGATCAGACCATTGTGCTCCATAGGGTTTTCACTTGATTTTCAGAAGCAGATCACCAGGCCTTTCTTCCTAGTCTGCCTTCATCTGGAAGCTCTGCTGAAACCTGTTCAGCATCCTAGCAACACACAAGCTTCCACTAACAGGTAGTGGCTGCACATGAGGTGCATTGACCAGGAATTGAACCCGGTCTCCCACATGGAAGGTGAGAATTCTACCACTGAATCACCACTGCCCCCATTCCTTATCTGCTTACACAAAGCAAACAGACAAGCAAAGATCTCATTGCTGAGCAGCTACACATGTACATAAACACCCTCCTCAGCATCTATCTGGAAAAAGAGGAGAGTTGAGAGAGTGTTCCAGCTTGAAAAAAGAGCTATTATAAAAGCACCATATTAAGCTCATGTAAAACCAAACCATCTTGAAAGGTGAAAAGAGAATTACAACATGCAATTAATCTAGAAAGAGCTAAAGTTTAAAAAAAAAAAATGCTAAGAGGAGCTAAGACAACTATGACACTTAAATAAAGGTTAAAATTGAGGGTTGTTCCAAAGCGAAGTCTAAAAGGTTAATTACTAGTGCCTTACACACAATACAGTAGTTTTGTTAATGGAACAATATTCAGTTTAGGTTCAGTGTGTCGGCCCCGCAAAATATATCAGCCATGACTATAAATTAGTGAAGCTTTCACATAAAGCAGCTGTTTAACAGACCTGTGATCTCCGCCACAGAGACTGTACACTATATTTCTATTTAAGTGAGAAAAAAAAAAAACCCTCCATTAAAAGAGTGCCAAGTTTGTTTGCTGTTCATGGAAAGAAAATTTCAAACAGGATAAAAAAAAAACCTCAAGTCTCCTGCCAGAAGGGGACAAAATACTCCAGGTCCTAGTGCAAGTTCACATCCTTCTGTTCCTCAAGGCCATAAACCAAGATGGCTCACAACTTGGCTAAAGTCCAGGGTGCAGGTACCTGGACTTTCATGCTGAGGGTGGTAGCCCTAGTTGATGAGCTCTGAAAGAAGAGGGCCTGGGGTCCTACCTAGCCTTGGCTACTTAGTATCTAAATGACTGGAGATTTCAGAAAACTCTTTATAAGGTAACAAGTATGATACAAATGGAAGAAGGTGATGTTACTTTACCAGCCTTCAATCTCAGCACAGACAGGGGAACATTCTCAAGAAATGGCCAGAACAAGAATAAATGCATGTTCAAACAACAAGTGAACAGAATTCCAGGCACTGTCTACAGATCCCTCTAAGCCAGGGGTTCTCAATCAGAGTGGATTTTGCCCCCAGGGGACATTGCCAATGTCTGGAAAAAATTTTGGTTGTCACATTAGAGGTGCTGCTGGAATGTAGTGGGTAGAGGTCAGCGATGCTGCTAACCATTCTAGAATGCCCAGGACAGCCCCCCCCCCATGACAGAGAATTTTCTACCCCAAATGTCAATACTGCCACTGTTGAGAAACCCTGCTCGAAGCTCAGAAAACTCACAGAATTCTGGAATGATAGAAAAAGCAGAAGATGTAGAGTCAGAAAGTCCTGTGTTCAAGTCCTGCATCTACTGCCTCCTAATCTGATAACCTTTTTATGTTTCTTAGCTTCTCTGGGACTGTGTTCTCAAAATTGTAAAATGGTAATAATTATATTACAGGGGTCTTCTGAGGATTAAGCTAAAACACTGAGATAAAAGTTATCTAGCTGGGGCCTTGCCAAGATATTTTCAAGTAACTAGATAAAGCACTGGTGGTGCAGTGGTTAAAGCGCTTGACTGCTAACCAAAAGGTCAGTGGTTCGAAACCAGGAGCAGCTCCGAAGGAGAAAGATGTGACAGTCTGCTTCTGTAGAGATTTACAGCCTTGGAAACCCTGTGTGGTCTCTATGAGTCAGAATCAACTTGATAGCAGTGGGTTTGGGTTTTTTTGGTTCAGATAAAGCACTAACCAAATACCAGTTAACAACCAATTATAAAAAGCTTTATCCTTGCAGAGACTTACCCTGCTGCCTTTCACAAAACAAGCTGCTGCACCTTGCGTTTGGGAAGTTCTCCCCAGGGGAGGGTTGGCTAGCGGTGAATTCAAGTCTTATATGGCTTTCTGGTTTTGTTACACATGCTGGTAGGTTCCCTTCCAGCCTCCCTCCAAGCTAAACTCCAACTACAGCTGACCCCAAACACAGTCCTTACATGAGATAAGGATGTGAAGGTGGCTGGAACGTGCCAGGCCTTCAGATAAGGACATTCTTATGCTGTCCCTATGAAACCCAATCCCAAGACCACCTGTGAGGCTGGAAGGACCTTGAGCTTCTAACCTCCATGAAACACCAAAACCCACACAGTCTCTTAGCCCCCTGACAGTGCCCCCTCCTTTACCAAAGCAGAAGCCTTCCCCACTAACACCAAGGAACATCACTTTAAGCGAGAGAAGCAAGACACTGAAGGAGGCCCACTGTCTGATTCCACTTACATGAAATTCAAACACCGGCAAGACAAGGGTGCGGTGTGAAAAGTCAGGCCTTGGTGAACTTTGCGGGGTGGGAGGGGGCTCAGGGGCCCCGAAGGCCGGTCATGTTTTTCAGACGAGGCATTTAGGATTTCTGCTCTTTGCAGTAGGCATGTTATACAGTACTCGAAAGTTAGAAACACACCAGCCACCTGGCCCCGGGGTCGGACTCGCGGCGGAGACCCACCTGGGGCGGAACTGGACCTAGCTCGGCAGCCTTTGGCGTGGTGGGCCGCCCCTTGCCTCTCTGCCCTCAGCGCCCCTCCAGATACAGAGGTCTACTATCTGGTGCACCGGTGAAGGGGACAGTAGGTCGGCCCCTCCACGGGGCTCAGGTATGCCAAAGTGGTGACAGCGCGGGGGCGGCCCGCACAGCTGGGTTGACACGTCGCAGGGGCCAGGACGTTCGTCCAACCGACCCCAGAAAGCCAAAGCCGTCCCAGCTACTGTGGGAAGGCGGCCATGGCACCCCCTACCCATTTGCCAAGATAAGGTTTTGTTCCACTTCTTTCCGCCTTAAGGAGAGGCCCGAAAGGCGGGGCCCGAAAGGCGGGGCCCGAAAGGCGGGGCCCGAAAGGCGGGGCCCGAAAGGCGGGGCCCGAAAGGCGGGGCCCGAAAGGCGGGGC